ACTGGTTCCTTCTTTATTAGGGAACTTCCTGTCCAGACTATATTTTGATTTGGCCCATTTTAAATTGATTTACAGATCTCCCAGGCTTTCATGTTTTATAAATATAACTTTTTTTTCTCCACAGTACAGTGGTACCTCGAGTTACATACACTTCAGGTTACATACGGTCCAGGTTACAGACTCCGCTAACCCAGAAATATTACCTCGGGTTAAGAACTTTGCTACAGGATGAGAACAGAAATCGTGCAGTGGTGGCGCAGCGGCAGCAGGAGGCCCCATTAGCAAAGTGGTGCTTCAGGTTAAGAACAGTTTCAGGTTAAGAACAGACCTCCAGAACAAATTAAGTTCTTAACCCGAGGTACCACTGTACTGAGTTCTGAGTCTTCTTCTGACGTGTTGGCAATGTCCCTCTTTTGCTGTGGGAAAATGTTCTTTAAAAGAGAGGGAGAGAGAGAGAGAGATGAATGTTTTGAACGTATTGCATCACTTTTGTTTTGACAATTTGCTTTTTACATTTCAAAAACCTCTCCCTAGATTTAATTTACACTTGGATTTGGTTTTAATTTTATATTGCTGTATACACTTTGCCATCCAGATCATAATTTTTAAAGTGTCATAGAATGATTAATGAAAACATGCTTTTCAGTGCCAACAATTGTGACTTTTCACAAGTGATTGGCAACTAGACAAAAACTAAAGCTCTTAATACTGGATGGGGGATAGCTATCCTTTGTGGTTAGTAACATTAAGATTTCAGAAAAGTCAGTATGCACTGGATATTTGACTTCATTTTTAATCTGAACCATGAATTTTTCAATATGTCCGACATCTAAAACTCAACTAATGTGAAAATAATTATAGGGCATAAAAGTATTTTTGTGAATGTGAATGTGTTTGCAACACACACACACACTGCAATCAAGAGAAGACCAAACCTGCTTTAAGTAATCCTGAAATTATGGCACATAAGTTCTTAATTCTTGTTGATTTCTATGGGTCTTAAGTGTGCTCTATGTTTAATGTTTTCTGGTTGGCATCCAAATTGTATATTTAGATGGCAATCACTTCAGACTAAGATTTTGCCAACAATGACTTAATAGGCATGCTCCATCTCAATTCGAACTAATAATGAAAAACAGCCTTTACACGCAAGGATACAGTAAGGGAAGAACCCTGTATGCTTTGCAAGCAGCACAATATGGCCTCCTCTCCCCTGCTCAGGGTATTAATTTGGCAATCATTTTTCGGTCTGCTCCTTTTAAGTTAGGGTTGAGTCAGGCCTCCCAAATACTGCAGCAGTGTTTGTGAGCAGTGAAAATGGAACCCACTTTTGGTGATTTGGTGTGTGAGATACTGTTCACAGAAGCATAGCACCAAACAGCTGAAAATCTCCTTCTTCTCGCGAATTCCTCACGGCGCTTTTAGCAAACGCTCAGAGTCCCAGGTTTCTTTTCAGTGCAGTCTTTTTAATGTGAGCTATATACAAGTATTTACAAAAACAGTCCATACAGAGTACCTGCTCCTTAAGGCAAACAAATACTCTCCACCACAGCACCACAACACCAAAGCACAACCACACCACAACCACGATTACTGTTGAACAGGCTTTCCTTTTTAAAACAGGTGATAGCCAATCACATTCCTGCTGAGTCACTCTGACCCAGCACTTCACAGAGTATTGCAGCAGTCTGTTGAAGCCTGCAGACTTACTCATCATCCTGCGAATCCCAACACTTCTTTCCTAGAAGCAGGAAGCAACATTCTCCATCACCTTATTACGCTAAACATAGCAAACTCTTCACATTTAGGCCCTTCTCTATGCATACAGTGAACACCATGTATGGCTGGTGGTGACTGCCTGCCTCCAGCTGTCTCTGTGTTAAAACATGCATTTCAACCCGATGTAGGCAACAGCGAATGGAGCCTTCTGCAGCCGAAGAGTTTCATTGTTCATTCAGAGGAGAGCTTTAATGTGCGAAGATGACTCAACACAGCGGGAGAAAGCTTGGTAATGCGAAATGACAGCTGACGGCTGTAAAAGCTGCAGAACACAGTTTGGGAAAATAGACTTTGTGGAGCTCATTTTCTGGAATTGTTCCTTGTGGGAAGAGGAAGGAGGAAAGGAGAGAGGCTGAGCCCGGTGAGTCCCAGAAGGTTGCAATGTAAGTATATACAGTGGTACCTCGGGTTACATACGCTTCAGGTTACAGAAGCTTCAGGTTACAGACTCTGCTAACCCAGAAATAGTGCTTCAGGTTAAGAACTTTGCTTCAGGATGAGAACAGAAATCATGCTCCGGCGGCGCGGCAGCAGCAGGAGGCCCCATTAACTAAAGTGATGCTTCAGGTTAAGAACAGTTTCAGGTTAAGTATGGACCTCCGGAACGAATTAAGTACTTAACCCGAGGTACCACTGTATGATGTGTTGTGCAACTTGCCCTCTGGGAAGAAGAAGGTCCAGCGGCCTGATTTGCACATTTCCACAAGAAGGCTGATCGCCGAAGAATTGATGCTTTTGAATTATGATGCTGGAGGAGACTCTTGAGAGTCCCATGGACTGCAAGAAGATCAAACCTCTCCATTCTTAAGGAAATCAGCCCTGAGTGCTCACTGGAAGGACAGATCGTGAAGCTGAGGCTCCAATACTTTGGCCACCTCATGAGAAGAGAAGACTCCCTGGAAAAGACCCTGATTTTGGGAAAGATGGAGGGCACAAGGAGAAGGGGATGACAGAGGACGAGATGGTTGGATAGTGTTCGCGAAGCTACCAGCATGAGCTTGACCAAACTGCGGGAGGCAGTGGAAGACAGAAGTGCCTGGCATGCTCTGGGCCAATGGGGTTACAAAGAGTCGGACGTGACTAAACGACTAAACAACAACAACACAAGCCAAAGCATGGCTCATTGTGAAGATGCCATCTCCGGGACCAAGTGGTTTTGTAGCTATGCTTTGGCATAATTGACTTACTTCTCCCCACCCACCTCCATTCTGGCCAGATGCCTGCCTCACTGACTTTACACCAATATTAGAATAGTGGGTGTTAAGTGCTAAAATAAGAAGTCATTGGCAACAATAGCAGCTGTTGCAAATTGAAACAAATAATCTGGAGTATAAAATATTCAGGCATTCCAGAAATAAGTCCCATTTCACAGCAATCTGGTTTCTTTTGGCTAAAAACAAAGGTTCTGATGCCATGCTAACATATTGCTCTTCATAAAAAGAGCTCATTAAAAAGAATTAAAAGGAATTATTGCTGATGATTAACATTCTTCTATAAAAATGATCTAGCTATGTGACTGATGAAATCACTGACATGTCTAAGATTCAGTAATACGGGAATAAACTTCTGCCCATTAAAAAAAAAGGTCACCTGTACACACACAAACACACACAAGAAAGAAGAAGAAGAATCTTTATTTGCATCAGACACAAGCCATAGTGATATAATAAAATACAATGTACTGAAGATAGAGTTAAATGATTAGTTATACAAAATACATTCTAGACGTTTAAATCAATACAAATTGGATAATTAATACATAGTCCTTTAGCCACAGATAAAACATGCAAACCAATAGGCTTTCTTTAGATAAAAACAACAACAACAATTGAGAAGTGTCAAACAGTTAATCATATAATAGATATTATTCCAATTGTCCCTGCTCTCTCTCTCTCTCTCTCTCTCTCTATATATATATATATATATTTGCAGTTTTTGCAAGCACACACATTAAAACTGATAAAGCAACAGGCGTTTGCATGAATACAGTTAGAGGGTGTAAGTGTGCCTAAAATCCCACTTGAGGACCACTTGTCCTCCAAATGTTGCAGGGTTAAAGGTAAAGGGACCCCTGACCAGTTGTGGCCGACTCTGGGGTTGCGGCGCTCATCTTGCTTTATTGGCCGAGGGAGCCAGCGTACAGCTTCCAGGTCATGTGACCAGCATGACTAAGCCGCTTCTGGTGAACCAGAGCAGCGCATGGAAACGCCGTTTACCTTCCCGCCGGAGCAGTACCTATTTATCTACTTGCACTTTGAAGTGCGTTCGAACTGTGAGGTTGGCAGGAGCAGGGACCGAGCAATGGGAGCTCACCTCATCACAGGGATTCGAACTGCCGACCTTCTGATCAGCAAGCCCTAGGCTCTGTGGTTTAACCCACAGCACCACCTGCGTCCTACTATAATTCCTGACCACTGACCATGGTGGCAAGGAATGAGAGGTGGAGTCCAACAACACGGGTTCCCCATCCCTGCCCTAGCCAGATGAGGACTGCAAAAGCAGCTGCAATTGTTGATGGTTTGTCAGGACTACATGCATGCAACCCATACATGCTGCCTATTTTGACCAGGGTCCAATAGCACTTGTGTTCTACAATTAAGAGGTTTAAAAATCATTTCAGCATTTAATTTAAAGTGGTCACCTGATGGCCACACACAGAAGGTTAATTAAGTATGAGGTTTGGAAAATGCTTAGAACGATCAAATCCATTTATAAAGAAAAAAAGAAAATCACGGCATGCTAATTTATTTGTTTTCATTATCTATTCAGGAGATTGATAGAAAAGCTCTCCAAGTGGTGTGTAAAAGAAAGTATATTATCTGAGAAAAGAGGCAATGCACGTACTTTTGTAAACAGAGAAAGACTTTTGTAAAAAATGTAAAGCAACAACAACCCACCAGAGATAGGGCACAGCTAAAATCTGAGAGCCTTCTAAACTTGAATGCTCCGTGTTAACCCCCTCCCTAAACACACACTCACAAACACACCACATTAAGTTAGAATCACAGAGCGGTAGAGTTAGCAGGGACCAGAAGGACTAACTAGTCCAGGCATAGGCAAACTGGGCCCTCCAGATTTTTAGGGACTACAACTCCCATGATCCCTAGCTAACAGGACCAGTTGTCAGGGAGGGATGATGGGAATTGTGGTCCCAAAACATCTGGAGGGCCCAGTTTGCCTATGCCTGAATTCTAGTTCAACCTCCTGCAAGGCAGGAATCTTTCACCCAACTTGGTGCTCGAACCTACAACCTTAAGATTAGGAGTCCCATGCTCTACCAACTGAACTATGGGCATTATACTTTGCCCTGAAAAACTTCACTGTGGTCCCTTCTCAAAAAGCACTTCAGGCACAGGAGAACTTTCCTGCCTCCTCCCCCGTCCCCAGGCATACAATCTGCAAACTACAGCAAAGTGTAGCAACTGCTGCTAACAGCAATGGCTGGAAGATTGCGCATAACCCTTTAAAAATCCTGGTACCAAATAATAGTTTATGCCAGTCATAACTCAAAAAGATTACCTGCTCCAAATGAACACAGTTTCAGAGTTCCATGCTCTCCAGATGCTAAATGAGGTGAGCTGCTATGTATTCCCAATGTTTTAGAGATGATTATTCTGGGATAATGTTCCCTTGAAGTAGCAGTACTTCTTTCATGTTAAATGATTGGGTTAGACACCAGGGCTTATTTCCAAGTCTTTGCTATTACGTGCACAGTTTGGGGCAGGGGAGAAGCAAAACATTGGTATGCATAAACATTTACACATTTTTTTGGAGGTTGTCTGTCAACTGTGCCAGCAAATTTACGAACTGGCAGCCCCCAAGCTGAGGAGAGGCAATGGGTTCTGCAGACGTCAGTCCTGACTGTATGTGCTGTGAGATTAGCGTCGGCAAAAGAAAGTCAGGCACAGGTGCTGGGATTCTGAACAGGCGCTGGCCACCTGTAAAGGCTGGATGCAAATATATGCAGAGACATTTCTCCTCTCGTGAAATTGAGACCATTGGCTGAAATTGTTTCCTTTGTGCTTTGGGCAGTCAGAGTGAGCGGTTTTTTACTTAGCCACCTTTTTAAGAAAACAAAACCCAACTTCCTTAGATAACTAAACCACCCCCTTTCTTTGCTCTGGGCTGTTATACAATGGCAGCAAAATCATACCAAGTTGTTTTGGAACACTTAATACAAGAACAAATGGGGGCAAAGTCTCCTTATTGAGATTTATCCTGTTTCTAGTAGTAGGTCAGCCACTGTCTCCAGGAAGCCCACTATGGTACATGAAGGCAACAGCCACACATTATTTGTCTGGTAGCCAGAGGTATGCTGCCTGTGAACCTGGGGCTTCCTTTTAGTCCCCCCCCCCTTTAATATTTTTTTATTAAAGTTTTTATTGGGTTACAAATGTACATGCAATACAGGTCATAGAGTCATTTCTACTGGTCAGTTACACTGAATATGATATATTAAAGTTGCATACAGTATAAGGTTAGGGGAAAAGAGAAGGATGAGAGAGGGGAGAGAAGGGTGTGTGGTTGTAAAGAGTACTTTTTTAACTTGGTGTATGTGTGGAGTTTTTGTGTCAGTATCACTTGGGTAGGTTCTCTATCTATTCATTTACAGTGGTACCTCGGGTTAAGTACTTAATTCGTTCCGGAGGTCTGTTCTTAACCTGAAACTGTTCTTAACCTGAAGCACCACTTTAGCTAATGGGGCCTCCTGCTGCCGCTGCGCCACCGGAGCACGATTTCTGTTCTCATCCTGAAGCAGAGTTCTTAACCTGAAGCACTGTTTCTGGGTTAGTGGAGTCTGTAACCTGAAGCGTATATAACCTGAGGTACCACTGTAGTGTATTCCCTTGGTAGTGAGAGAGGTTGTGGGGGGCAGAGCATGGTTCGTTGTCTTTAGTTGACTGCAGTTAGATTTGTTTGCGTTTGTGAGGGAGCAGAGGGATTGTTGGGTCAAGTTAGCCATATTGATTTGCATGCTGTTGATGGGTTCTTGTTGTTGTCTTGTTGGGCTGTGCATGTAATGAAGGAGACCCATATTGGGGCGAAGGCATACCCTTGTGTTTGTCTCCATGTCAGTTTCAGTCTGTTGGTTAGCTTTTCAAGTAAGGCTGTCTCCCATATGATTTGATACCAGTGGTTCATGTTCACTCCTGACAGGTCTCTCCAGTGTCTAGCTATGATGCTTCTGGCTGCTGAGAGTAGTCCCATTGTTGACATTGAAAAGAAAATCACACAACAGAGTGTTAGATTGCACTTTTTTAGTACGATCCTGTTCTAAATCAGTGGGCTGCTGTGCATACTGCTTCAGTGTAGAGAAAAGTGTGATGGACCAGTGGTTTGACTCGGTGTAAGGCAGACAGATAGATGTAGGTGTAGATATAGAAAATCATTGCAGGGAGAAGATATCTGTCATCCTCCTGAAAGACACAGCAGTATATTTTATTGAACCAAGTTATAGTATTAAAAGAAAGAAAGAAGCTGAACATGATTTCAAACTGATGCTTATTCAGGCATATATGTGTGGTGAGAAAGAGATATGAAAGAATGGCTGTTGTTAAAAGTCTAGTATTCTTGTTTGTCTGGATCCACCCAACTACACAGAACATTAATCAGATGAAAACCAACCTCCAAGAGACCACAAGATTCAGAAGACTGAATTTTTGTTTTCAAGAGCAAACCCTCCTCCTCCTCATTTTATTATTTATATCATGCCCATCTAGCTGGGTTGCCCCAGCCACTCTGGGTGGCTTCCAACATATATAAAAACTTCATACAACACAAAACAATAAACTTCCCTATACAGGGCTGCCTCCAGACGTCTTCTAAAGGTTGTATATTTACTTATCTCCTTGGCTTAGGGGTCAGATAACTTCATACCCTCTGGTGAAAAGAAGGACATCTTACAATACCCTCATACATTTCTCCAGTGAAAATAGGGACGTCCTAAGGAAAAGCGGGACATTCTGAGATCAAATCAGAAACTGAGATGGCTTCTGTAAATCCAGAACTGTCCCTGGAAAATAGGGACACTTGGAGGATCTGCAAGACCAAGCTGCTTGGAATCTGTCCCTGTGTCCAAGTGACAAAGATTTAAACATTTGGGGAGGGGCAGGGAGGGGACTAAATACATTACGACAGCCTTCCACAAGCTAGAGTTGCTGCCAATCAGCCAATGGTCCCACTAGATTCTTATGTTCCTATAAGAATCTAGTTGGGACCATTGGACGGCATCTGTTTGAGGATGTCCAATGGATGATGTCCATTTGAGGATGGTTGAATTACAGCGACAGGAAAGAACAGCATTTCAGTGCTGTGGCTTACCAAAAGAAGAAGAAGTGGTATTCCCATCATAGTTCACGTCTGAAGAAAATGGCACTAGCATCTAACAGTCTCCAAAGGAATCTTAAATCCAACCTGCTATGAAACAGGGAGCCTGCATAATGTATAACCATTATCGTGGCTAAATTAGCCACTCTGTAAACTGTTGCGAGCTGCATGTTGGCTTCATTACGATTATCCAGAATGGAAGGAAATATAAAATCTTTCTATGCCCCCCTCTATGTCCTTGGTAGCAAAACACACTTTCTTTCAGATGGCACCGAGCAATAATGCGAACAGCAGCTTCCTATAAAAAAAGGCGGTTAAAAAACCTAAGGGAGGACTGTGGAGAAGAAACAAGCCTTTAGAGAAAATTTAAAGGCCCACTGAGAGTGCTTCCCTGCAACAGAAAGAGGCAGCTTGTTCTATAATTGGAGAGCGTAATGTCTTTTCCTTCCAGACCTTATTAGTCTGCACTTGCAACAAATGGCTCAGCGCTGGTTGTTTTAATCACTTCAGCCTTTGTAAAAAAAAAAAAAAAGTCTGCCATTATTATCCCTAAAATATGGGAAGCTATTTTTTGTGTGATGTTAATTAAGCTACATGGCGTTTTGTTGCTTTATGCGTCTGCTTGGTGTCCCGCGTCACACACTCTGTTGTGGTGCTGGCTCTAAAATCTATTAACTGTGCCCCAGCGGCTTGCATTTCTTCTTTGTTTAGTGGGTCATTTGGAGCAACCCAACGATTCTTATATAAAGGTAAAGTACTCAATAATACGATTTGCATTTACACTTTCATCTGTTTCCTTAGGACAGTAGAAGCAAAGTTGTTTATGATACGCATTTCTGGGATAATAACTTTGAGTAGCAGTGTTTCCGCAGAGTTTCAGCTTCTGTTGGTTTTCTCCCCACCTTCCCCCTTCCAAACAACAACAAGAGTTCAGATTAGATAGGCATCTTATTTTAAAAAGCTTGCGGAACTTCAAAGAGAACAAAATGGTCTTTTATGCATGATATAGAAACACAGAGATGCTCTAAAAATGTTGTAGAAATAACTCATAAAAAGTACTCAAAAAGGAGCAGGAAACAGGCTGTTTTGCGTTTCTGCCATGCTTTATATACTGATGTCAGTAGAATTACTACCAGCATGGAACAGTGTAGCTGAAGCAGGGCCGGTCCTGCCATTAGGTAGGATGAAGCCGCTATCTCAGGCAGCAGAAGCCCCTGAGACAGCACTCCTGTGGACATTTCACCTGCCCCGCCACCTCCACTGGTGTGAGAGAAGCGGCGTTGGCATCAACACTGATTTCCAGTGAGATCTCGTGCGATCTTCCAGAACATGAGAGATCTTGCCAGAAATCAGCAAGATCTCACTGGTGGAAATTGGCCCTGACGTGGGTCCCATTTCCTCACCATTGGCAGGGGTGGTGGCAGGCTGTTAGCAGTGGCAGGACAGGGCAAAATGGCATGCACTGCTCCTGATCTGAAGAAGATGTACAAAGTTGTTGGGTGCTTGGTTTTTTTTAATGCTGTCAAAGAACAAAGGGAAATCCTTGCTCAATCAGACCAAGGCAATCTGCTCCAAAATCCTGTTTCTATCACTAACCAATCAGATGTGTCTAGTGTTCATATGTAGAGCATCCTTGTATGGCCTTTTCCCTACCACTGGTATGCTATGTTTGCTGAATCACGCCTAGTGGTACTTGGCCCTTTTCGGAAAGCTAGTTCTTATAGGAAACAATATGGGCAAAAGGAGCGTTAAAGACAGCAGACGGACCCAGGACATTCTCCTTGGGAGTTCAATGGAAACACTAGTGATTAAATAGGTTTTTGACTTAGGTGCAGTTCATATAGCATCACGGACATGTTGAAAAAGTGAGTGGAATATTGGTTTCACAATTTTTAATTTTTTTCTACTCTTCAGTTCATCACATTTCATCATTTTGCTTTTTAAAAACAAACTTGATGAAAATTCAGGA